CGAGATCGTAGGCCTCATTTTTTATAGAGAACCTGACGCGGGTCTTTGCCAGAACTTTGCCGCTCCCTGTATTTCAAGGGATTCATGGAACGGTTGAAGAATAACTAGCAAAGCATAAAGCAAACCAATTGTCTGTTTGTCTGCGCTATCACACTGATAAGCTGGTGAGATTAATTGAGGCTTCAGTGCGTTTTTGACACCAGTTCAATTTGCAAACGCATTTGCCCAAAAATGCAAACGAAAATGGTAAGTAATTGACACCACAAAATCGCTAAGTATTAATAGAAATAGCAGTAATCAATAACAATCAATGATGCATGTTGCGAAGATACGGTACTTAGGAGCTTCCTGAAGGCAGTTCTCTCACTCTTCACCGACATAGTACCGCATTTTGTCTCGCTGAGAGAGTGAAGGATAGTAGGAGTGGGCGTGGCCATAGTTCGCGAGCGGCCCTTCTTCGCCGCGCGATGGAACTCGTGGAACACTTCGGCCTCTATCACCAGTACATTTGAATTCGTCAGGGATTTTTGCGAGATATATTGCAGATACGGGGCTGATCTGCACCTCCGACAAAACCTTGAAAATTATCTGGCAGGTCGAGCTGATGAAGACGGTTCAAGGAAGATGCCTGTTGTTTGTGCCGTTCTGGAAGGCGGTTCCAATTCGCTCATAGCTATACATAAGTACTTAACGCAGTGAGTACCCCATTTTCTTATCGATTACTTTCTTGAATAGATTGATCGCATGATTACTGACGATCAACGGATTCCTTTCAGAGAGCCCAACATTCCAGTGATTGTGTGTGACGGTAGTGGGCGTGCATCGGACCTGCTGGCTTTCGCTGCCAGATATCTAGACGCTGATGGGTTCGTGTAAATTTGCATTTTTTGTTTACATTCATCTTTTTGAGACTAGATTCATTAAATATATCATTATTACTGTATAGATTGATTTATGCCACGTAAATATTTTTGAATTCATTTATTTGTTTATTTATTTGTTCATTTATTTACTTATTTACAAATTTCTTTCAACTGTTTTTTCACGATTTTTCTGCCTCAAAATGACGCTGAGGGCAAAGAGAAAGGGTACTGAACAGACAGGAGCAAAACACCTGGAGACCATTAGATGTCAATCTTGAGGGTGCGCCGTGCCTGTTGACTTTAGCTTCCTTTTGTAGAAATATTTGAAGGCTTGCGCATTTTGCTACTGGACCCATCAGATAGGCAAAAACATAATTTAAAAGCTCTGATAACTCAAATATCAACCCAAGTGAAATTCCCATTCACCAAGAAGTTTGATTGAGCCAAGAGAGGCCTCATCACTGTATCTTCCCTTTACTGATCATAGGGCAACTGGGGCATTGGCGAGTAGCCCCAACTACCTATGACTGAATATGGAACTCAGTCTTTTCTAGGCTATCCAAGTATTTTTATCGCAATTGTAGCAATCGACAAAAATCAGAGAACTTCCTTTTAATTTCTCCATACGTAAGCTGATATAAGTAATTCTGTGAGGAAGTTGAAAGCGTGGCCTATTAAAAGAAAATGCTTGTTCTGTAACATCTCTCAACGGCGTTCACTCGGCTATTTCAGTTCATTCCAAGAAGAGGTTCGAGAGCAGCTGCTATCTCTGATCTCCACTGTATTCCCTGATAATCAAAGGCAACCGCAAGAGATTCTGGACTTGATCACCCAATGCGTCAGAAAAACTGATTTGGTACGAAAATCACTGTACTAGCCAATCGATAAATCGATCGATCCTCATATTTAGTTGACGATTTTTCGCTATGGTGAAGGGAAATCAGAGGACGTTGATCACGCCATACTGACAGCGGTACTGAAGCGACAGAATCTCAGCCTACCCGAACAGGTGCGACTCAGTCACTTTTTTTGCCTTGACGTCTTCCAAAAAATTTTTCACTGATGAAAGTTATTATTCTTTTCGTGCCTTTTACTGCTATGCCTTTTCAAAATCATTTTATCTCGTTTTTATTCACTAATTCTTTTTCTTTGCGGGCAAGTTGAACAGTTTTAGATCCTTTGAGCTGTTCATTTGTTTTCTCCTTATATCCTATCCGGCATTATTAATCGATTATCACTCGGATATTTTTCAAATAATTACATCTTACACATTTATCATGATGCACCCTATTACGAGCCCTTTTGCTTTTTTTCTCATGATTTTTTTCCTCAATATTCCCGAGTGGTATAAATGATTTACTCTTTACTGTTGATTCTTTAGTATTTTATTTATTATTATTATTAATCTCATTGAAAAATTTCTGCTATTGATTACATGTCCTAGTAGCTGCCGCTCACTCCACACTCACAA